ACCAAATTTCGAGTTAATCCGACGTTTTGAAGAGGGCCAAAATCATGTTCAAAGATTCCATTACATAACATACTAACATACATACGTCTGAAGCTAATAAAAGCGTATTAAAAAGGGTTAATTTTTAAGGGTCATTTTTTTTAATTGCTGTTGTAGACAGACGAGTAGGTATACGACTCACCTGATGGTAAATGGTTACCGTCGCTCATGGACGTCAGCAATGCCAGGGGCACAGTCAAGTCGCTGCCTACCTACATATTTAGTAAATCATTTAGTTTTATTACTAACACACGGACAGAATAATCTTATTATTGTGTCACAAGCATAGCGTTCGTGTTATCAACTTGATAAGCCGAATGAGATGGAACGTGTTGTGAGAGTAATAAGAACATGCCACATGTTGTCATCAATGCAATTTTTTTTTGTGTTATTTTTTCCTTTTACATATACTATAACTATATTTAATACTTGGAACACTTTAGAAACATTTTACAATTCGCACTTCACTTCTTCCGCTTCTCTTCAGGTGATCCGTTCGCTCTTTCGCTTCGAATAGATCCGATTACTAAATGCCTTCGTGTAATCTCTGCAACGCTTTTATAGTTCACACGACAAGTCTGCAATTATAGAGAACATTCTCGATAGGACGAGTCGTTTCGATATGTGTTTTTGCTCTTTGATAATAGGTGGCGTTACATTTATCGAACGTTCTCGATATTACTTGTTATTTTGATATTCGTTTCTCCTATTTGACGACAGATGGCGATGGTAGATGATTACTCTTACCATCGTAAGAATATGCTATTATATAATATATTTTGATTGCGTTGCGTATGTATAGAGGATTCATTTAGAATAAAACGTATGTATGTTTGGTGTCTATTGATAAACCTATTATTATATGAATTTGTTTATCTGTTTCAAAACGTTGCTGCTAGAAATCGCTTTTAGCGATAATACCCTACAAGTTATGCGTGCTATTGATTCATGTTCAATGTAAATTATATTTTGGTCTGCAGTAAAGTATACTTTGCCTACCTTTTTCTTTCATTTGTTTTATCTCTAATGTTTACTAATAGGAATTCTATCCTTTTAATTAATTATATTTATTTATTGAAGTATAACAAACAGAATTGCCGCAATAAGCACAGCGATGAATAAGAGATACATAATAACTTACAGTTGTACTATCACATTACATCAGAGTAAATTTAATACAAATGTTGCTTTTTTAATTGCTTTGTAGGCAGACTAGCGTACGACTCGCGTGATGGTGAATTGCTATCGTTGCTCATTGACATAAGCAATGTCAAGGTCAGAGCCGACCTACTGTTTACTGGTGGGGACTCTTCTCATACATCGTTTGAAGAATGATATAACATAGCGCTTGCGGAACATCCTAGAGGAGAGTTCAATTCAGAGTCGGATGGTACATCTCAAATAATATAATATTAATATAATATAATAACATAATCTAATATATAAAATTCTCGTGTCACAATGTTCGTTCCCATACTCCTCCGAAACTGCTTGACCGATTCTCATGAATTTTTTTATGCATATTCAGTAAGCCTGAGAATCGGCTAATATCTATTTTTCATACCCCTAACTGATTAGGGTTGTCCACCCCTAACATATTTCTTTTTATTTGGACATTTTTTTTTTGTTATAATGAGGTATTATGTGGTTGAATGAGGTTTTGTTATTTTTATTATACATTCCCTCATCGTTCACAACGCTACATACCTCTTTCACTCATTTACCACATCCTTACACACTTATAATAACTTAGTTTTTTTTTCTACACTAGAAATTCCCTAGAAATCTTATATATGGCAAAACAATGTTTGCCGGGTCAGCTAGTATTATATACAAATCGAATGTGCTCTTGAGAGGTAAGGTTGAGCTATATTAAAGGTATGATTTAAAACCTTGACCGCTTAGTTAGTTGTAAAGCTGCTTTGCTAATCGCTACTAATTGTTATTCCGTTTGAATGTAATTTTACAACACGAAGGTCATCGAAATTAGAGACCAATAAACTTTTCTCTGAATAATATTTTGTACATTCGTGTGTTTGTTTGTTGGTCTTAAAATTACAATACATGTACTGTATGATGGTCTTCTCTACAATTTAAGTACTGTTTTAACTTTGTAATATCTTTTTTGTTATTTCTTAGATGGGTGAATTACGGCCTACCAGGTGTTAAGTGGTTACTGGAGTCAAAGACATCAATAACGTGAATTTCATCACCCACCTAGAGATCCGAGTTCTAAATTTCAGTTTTAGAGTATTACGGTTACTCCACCCCATACCCGAATAGTAAATAGTCGTCGTCGCCCAAAACACGTCATTTCGGATTCTCCCGATCCACTATTGGTGTTTTTAGGTACCTCAAGCATCGGTCACCGTTCTCGTGGAACCCACCATTTGCGACGAAGAGTTCGGCGAGTTCGGCGAGACCCACAGACAAAGCCCACTGAGTTTCTCGACGTATCTTCTCAGTGGGTCGCGTTTCCGATTCGGTGATAGATCTGCAAAGCACTGCTCTTGCTAGGGCTAGTTTTAGCAACGTTAGCAGGTTAGAGCTCCGTGAGCTCACCTACTCGCTCGGTGAATCTAGTATGACCCTTTGAGGTCACTAAAATAGCTAGAAAAAAAAGCGCCATCCTTCAAAATGAAACACATTGCTGCTTCACGGCAGAGATGGACAGGGTTGTGATCACTCAATCTTAAAAGAAGAAAGAAAAGAATGGTTGTGATATCACTACGCATGCGGGCTCAACAGACGTAAAAAAAAATTGATTCATTCAGATGCCTTCTTCAATTCCTGTAATTTCTTGATATTGTTTTTTTTAATGATTTTGGTTTTAGATAATATTATTCCCTATCTAATCGCTGGTAGCCCAAGAGGCTATTTCAGCTACGTTCGGACGGGAATACTAATAGATGAATTAGTTTTGTTACTGTATATTGTGACTTACGAGTCTAAATCAAATTAAATAAAAAAACATAGAATGACTTAGGGAATAAAAAGAAAATATGAATGAAGAAACTAACAAGTTAATGACAGCATTTAAAATAAAACCGCTACTGATACCGTAAAATATTAAGCTTCTACTATGTTTTAAAGTTTTTTATTAGCTACTTATAATAAAACCGAATTATTACTATTTTTTTAGTGTTATACGCTAAGATTACAGCGTAAATCAGATACTAAATTAAAAACTAGATGCTCTGAGTTTGTGGTTCAATTAATGTCGTCTATACATGCGGCGCGTGCTTCTTTTGTTGAATTATATAACCATTACCAAAATACAATAATTATATAATCATATAAAAATATATATTATCAAAATATAACCATTACCAAATTACAATCAGTGAAAATTGAGGTCCCAATGCGTTACTTGTTATTGTCGATCGCAGTTTGTTTTTGAATACTGTTTATTTTGGAGTCAACTACATATTCTGTAGTATCTATGTAGGGATTTAGTACTGACTCCTGTGGCTCCTACTACTATAGGGAAGAAAATAGCAGATGTTTTTCACAACCTGCTTAATACTCGTTTGATTTGTATTACATGATGTATTGTATTGTACCTATTACTTGTAGTTACTTATAATTTTTATATTCCTTTTGCTCCTATGTTATAAATTGATGGTATAGTAACGTTTATGAAGTAAGTTTTATTTAGTAATACTATATTTATTTAATATATATTATTTGGTTTATTTGATTAATTTGATTAGTTTTATTAAACTAATCTATAAATATTTATAAACTGTATTCTCATGATTCTATTTTTCTTCCTCGGAAGATATTTTCTTAAATCCTGATGGACAGTGTAGTTCCTTTTGTTGTGATGTGATGCGTAGAACGGTATGTACAATAAGTCTGTCCGCTTGTCTCAGAAATTGTGGACGCTAATTATCATAAGTACTGAACTGATTTAAAAATTTTCTAGAAGGGCTATAGGCATTAGCAAAAGTTTATTTTAAGTCAGATGGAAAGATTTGGCCTAGGCTAATTTTATAGAGTGTATTCGCGGGCACGTGTTCTGTATAAAAATATGTATCTACATAATTAACCATTACTTATACAGTTAGTTTCCGACACAGTTTCGCATACTATACAGTTTTCGTGTTCACGGACCAATTAATTCTGGAACGTACGAGTATGTTACAAATAGTAAAATGTACTTAGTACTGTTAAAAAAACGGGTGGATATTCATTACCAATGAAAAAAAAACTTGTTTCATTTTATTACAGAGTTGATGTACAATGAAACTAAATTGGAAAACACGAAAAAAAGTTATCTATTCAAATGTAACAGAGTAAATTATAAAGTTCTGTGCGTTCTGTACTGTCTGTAGTGAAGTAAAGTTAGTTAAGTTAGTTAAGTTAGTAAAGTTAGTAAAGTTAGTAAAGTAAGTAAAGTAGTAAAGTTCTGTACTGTCTGTAGTGAAATAAAGTTAGTAAAGTAGTAAAGTTCTGTACTGTCTGTAGTGAAGATAAAGGTCTTCAAAATGGAACGAAAAAAAACGATCTTGAGTGAACGGCTAAAATGTAAATAAAATAAATTTGTGAATTTACGATCAGACACATGTGAATGTTCAATGAAATTTATTCCAACAAAAGCAAATGATTAAATCAGCAGGTAGTAACAAAACAAAGATTATTATTTGATTGATGATTGTTCGTCGACGTTGTTTACATCGTACAATGTACTTTAATAAAATTCTGCATGCGCAGTTCAATGCACTGAGAAGTTTATTTTATAGAAGAAGAAAAAAAACGTTTATTTTTGTTAATACATGAAGAAAATTCGCGCCAAAAAACATGACATTGCATTTTATTGGGCGTTTAAAAAAATTAAATAAAAGTAGCCAAAGGAAATCGAACATACTTCATCATTGACCAGTGTATAATAAACGTAAATATTATAGTAAACAAAGTTATGTACATATTGTATTTGTTTAAATGTTTGAAAAAATTACCTTCAATTTCGACGGTACGATACAGTACGTTTCAATCCGTGGGTAATGAGATTTATTAGCACGACATTAAAAATTGTTTTCACTGCGATATGACAAAAAAACGACACAAGATTCTGAGTGAACTCGGCCAGCGTCCGAGCGCGCGCGGATCTACCCTTCGACTGACTGGCGAGTGGCGGCTACGTTTACGAAAATAGCAGATAAAACCGAGGAAAAGATAGACTCAAATATTTATTTTTCGACAGAACGAATAAAGGCTATTGTTACATATTATGATAAACGAGATAAGTTTGATAGTGTAGTGTCTTGTAAGGGTTGGGGTTTATTGAATGATTGGCTTGTCGAATAAAATATTTTTGTTAATGGTATCGTGAAACAGGCGTCAGCTTATCTAAGGCGAATAACTAAATTAGATCATTTGAATAGGTTTGTTAATTATTGTCTATTATAGAATAAGCACGTTTTGAGAATATTATGTTATACCTATATACTTTATGATATTGATTTAAAAGATGCCAGAAAACATATTTAACCTGAAGATCGTAACGAGATTTTCAAAGTTGACCTAGTTATCCGATATCTTGTGCTTTTGTAGAAAATTGAATGAGCATTTGCATAAATAAATAATTATTTTGCCAACGATACAGATTGGGTTTTGGTAAGCAAGGTCCAAAAAGCCAAGTCAAATGTATTAAAAATAAAAATATAATTTTCTCTGCTCGTTTCCCGATTTGCTGCGTCATATGACAAGGAACCAGACAAAGAAGCATAATGTGAACGAAATGAAATGCTTTTATGTCATTAATAATATTTTCTTATATTTTTTTATGATCGTAAATGAAAAGCTCTTTGTATTTTAAGAAAGCGAAAGAAGGCAGATAAACGCTAGTGATTTTCAAAATTACGTTTAAACATATAAATTATTAAAGCTTTTGTTTGTCATCCTTTTAACATGAAATCATTCTTTTATATAAATTATATGACGTCATTTTTTCAGTAGCAATACCGGCTTAGAAGTACTTCAATTGATACGAATTGACAGGTGTGTATTACTAGGGATACTGGTATATCGACGGATGGTGTTACTAAGGCTAAAATAATCTTCTTATCAAAATTCCACACAAAACTTATGAGTGATCTTTTTTTTTTATTTTTTTATTGCTTAGATGGGTGAACGAGCTCACAGCCCACCTGGTGTTAAGTGGTTACTGGAGCCCATAGACAACTACAACGTAAATGCGCCACCCACCTTGAGATATAAGTTCTAAGGTCTCAGTATAGTTACAACGGCTACCCCACCCTTCAAATCGAAACGCATTACTGCTTCACGGCAGAAATAGGCAGGGCGGTGGTACCTACCCGTGCGGACTCACAATAGGTCCTACCACCAGTGATTACGCAAATTATAATTTTGTGGTTTGATTTTTATTACACGATGTTATTCCTTCACCGTGGAAGTCAATCGTGAACATTTGTTAAGTACGTATTTCATTCGAAAAATTGGTACCCGCCTGCGGGATTCGAACACCGGTGCATCGCAACAACTAATGCACCGGACGTCTTATCCTTTAGGCCACGACGACTTCAAATTATCTGCCCTAAACAATTTGAGATCGTACACTTGAGTTATTCTCAGTATTAAAAAAAAAAACAGAAGGTTCAAACTTATTGTCGTATTGTTTATATCTTATTCAAATACAAAATAACCTTGTACTACTTATTCTTATTTGTTAAATTGGTAGAAATATGTTAGTTTGTGTCGTCTGCTTTGTTTTTAAGATAAGTAAAATGAATAAATAAAAAAACAGCTCACCTAATTTATGAAAGCGTAAGCTAATTTTGCGCTAGTTATGCCAGTTTCGAAACGAGCAATTTTTTTTTTTTATGGCTTAGATGGGTGGACGAGCTCACAGCCCACCTGGTGTTAAGGGGTTGCTGGAGCCCATAGACATCTACAGCGTAAATGCGCCACCCACCTTGAGACATAAGTTCTAAGGTCTCAGGTATAGTTACAACGGCTGCCCTACCCTTCAAACCGAAACGCATTACTGCTTCACGGCAGAAATAAGTAGGGTGGTGGTACCTACCCGCGCGGACTCTCAAGAGGCCCTACCATCAATTAACGAAGAATAAAAAACCAAACTATTGCTTTTATCCGTAACGTAAGCTTTCAGACAGCATTTATTCATCACGTCGTCTAAGCCAAATCCGTTTCGAACAAAGACCCAAACAATGTAAGCTGACCTTTTATTTTCATGAAACGATGCCGAATTAAATGAATAACGCTTTCTTCTTGTCATTTTGTTTATTGTTTAATTTAAGAACAAGGAGATGGGTGAGATACTAAAGTAAAAGATAGCTTTTTTTATTTTAATTGCCTGCCGCAGTTTTGTTTGCGTTATAATTTTTCTTTTCTCTTGGCTTCAGTCTTGTTCTGGCGAATATGTTTTAAATTCAAATTAACTTTTAATTTTTAGTGGTGGTAGAGGTCTCGCGAGTGCACTCGGATAGGTGCCACCGCCCTGGCTATTTTTGAAGGGAGCAGTCGTTGTACCGTAAAACTGAGACGATAATTCACGTCTTAAGATAGATGGTGGCATTTGCGCTGTTAATGTCCGTGAGTTTCGGTAACCACTTAACAACAGGTGGGCTGTGAGATTGTCCACGCATCTATGCAATAAAAAAATTATATTATCAAACGTTACCAATTACTGGAAGTGTTTTTTACGCAATAACCGAATAAATATCAATCCATATCTCCTGTTAAGCGTGATAATAGGAATTTGAAACAACGTCGAAAATTTATTTCCAAATTACCTTTTTTTTTTTTTTATTGCTTTGATGGGTGGACGAGCTCACAGCCCACCTGGTGTAAAGTGGTTACTGGAGCTCATGGACATCTACAACGTAAATGCGCCACCCACCTTGAGATATAAGTTCTAAGATCTCAGTATAGTTACAACGGCTGCCCCACCCTTCAAACCGAAACGCATTACTGCTTCACGGCAGAAATAGGCGGGGTGGTGGTACCTACCCGCGCGGACTCACAAAAGGTCCTACCACCATATAAGCCATACCTGTCAATAATGCTAATATATAACGTATTTATCACTGGGTTTACGTTTATCCGTTAGCATATGATAACTATAACCTATAGGGCAGTTCAGCCTGAAGTTCAGACAGCCTAATGAGGATTTATTACTGGTGATATTTTATGGGCTGCACAAGTAGGTACTATTATACTGTTTTATTTTGCCTCAAAATATTGATGAGTTCTCGTCTGAAGGGTGATGCAGCCATTCCACAAAACAATTGAGATATCGGTTTCACGTCTCAGGATGGGTGGCGGCATTCCCATTGCTGTCTATGGGCTCTGATAGCACTTAAGCTCAGGTAGATCGTGAGCTATCCTTGGATAAACAAACAAAATTAAGTACGCTTTGAGAGTTTACAGGTACGTCTTTCTTTCAATTAAAAATTAAAGAGCATTAATAATTAATTGAACATCAAAAACAGAGGTTGTAACTTACAATCGCACTTAATAAATTAAAATGAACCTCCCAAATAAATGGATAGCTTCGCATATCTCGATTTATAAAATGTTAAGTAGTACAAAAGTGATTAAGTATGGAGATACTGGCGGGTACCTATTAAAGAGCATTATTCAACATCCCTCGTTAAAAAATTAAGAAAGCTTTTAATATAACATTTAATATTTAAATATATAAATTCGTACAAGCAATTTGTTTTATGAAACAATATTTAGATTACTTATTCTCATTATTATAGGTCCTAAGTATACAGGTCGATTAATGTTAATATTCATCAAATATTATTTCATGAACCACAAGGGGTTTTAATAGCGGTAAATAGATTTAAGTAGGTGTTGCTTTGCGAAACCCATATTCATAATAGATTATCATTTACATATCATATAAAATACATAGTTTTGATTTAGGTTTCGTTGGACCTTTAGTTAGTTATTAAAATTAGTGTCAGTTTGGAGAATCCGTGTTTTTTTAGTAATCACTATTAGTAATCACCATTGTTCTTGGACGTCAACAATGGGGTACAAAGCCGCTGTCTGAACGCTTTCGTTAATCCTCGTATGAAAAAACGATATATCATAGCGATCAGGGGAGGGAAGGGAAAAAGGAGGGAGGTTTATTCCAATGCTGGATGGTACGTGGCAAAATATCATAGGAAACACTAAATATCTTCTTCAGAAGTATATGCTTTGAATAATAGATACGGTTATTTAGCAAGTACCTCGGGGTAAAAAAGGATCTATGTAATGTAAAATTAATTTATATTTAATAAGTAAAAGACATTATTTCTTTTAAAAGAGCACGGGTTGCTTAAATATTATATTATATTATATGCTTAATATTTAAACAAGTCTCTTCTGTATTGGAATAAAGATTATTAAAACCGGAACATATAACTGTTTGGCGACAGAAATACTCTGCCTCAGCCAAAGAAATTTTTCAATGCGTTGTAACCTTATGATGCTTGAAATCGTTAACTTTTTGGAAGCTTCACAACGAGGATTACTTCTTCAATGCGAAATTATTGGGAGTTTTTGCCCGGCAGTCAGAAAGACATTTAGTATGTTTCAATTTTAATCACAAATGAACATTCTTACAAACACAGACAAAAGGTGAATGGACCAAACCACCTTTGCGGCATCAAATACACCGCTAGTATTAGGTATTAGAAGGAGAAGCAGTGGATGTCCATTAACAAATTGTAACACACTATTTATTACAACAAACGGGTAATGAGCTAGTAGTAGTAGTAGTAGTAGGAGTTCGGAGCTCCAGATTATCATGAAAAAATATTTCGTCTTAAAATATTATCTTTTATTAGCAGCCTTATGCGATTCCGGCAAAAGACATCTGTGGGTTTTCGCAGCTTCAAGGCCATTTTTTGAAACATCTTAATAAAATATTAATAAAGTGTTCGATATATTATATATGAATATGTGAAATTAAATAATTTTAATGTAACATGTGAATATGTATTCAGTTCTAAATCAAAGATTACTACAACATTAAATAAAGTGAGATTTGGCTTCGTAAGATCAAAAACATTATAAATTTAGAAAAACATTTATGTTTTAGCGATTTTCAAATTGGATCATTTTACAATTTA